TGGAAACTCATATTCTAACAGTTGTTGTTTCTAATTCCTCAATATTTTGTTCCTTATATGCATCGTTATTGATTTTATACAATTAAATGTGAATTTGGGGTCTAATTTTGGGGTATTCACAAACAGGTCCAGTCTATTACAAAGGTTTCTACCATCTCTTTCTACCAATATAACCCCAAAGGTGCGGTTTGGGGTAATATTGTGTGGGCTCATTCCGTTTCTAAAGACTTGGTCAACTGGGAGGCTCTTGAACATGCTATCTATCCTTCCAAATGGTTCGATATCAAAGGCACATGGTCAGGTTTAATAACGATTGTACCGGGTAAAGGACCGATTATCCTCTACACCAGCCTTAACCAGAACGAAACTCAAATGCAAAGCTATGCCATCCCACAAGACCCATCAGACCCTTACCTCAGGAAATGGATCAAACCGGACGATAACCCAATCGCAATTCCAGACTATACCATGAACGGATCTGCGTTCCGTGACCCGACCACGGCTTGGTTTTCAAAAGACGGTCATTGGAGAACTGTTGTGGGGTCGTTGAGAAAACATAGGGGAATCGCTTATATATACAGGAGTCGAGACTTCAAGCGTTGGGTCAAAGCTAAGCACCCGGTACATTCTAAAGAATCAACCGGTATGTGGGAGGGCCCTGATTTGTTCCCGGTTTCTTTACCCGACTTTGGCAATGGATTGGACTTGGATTATGTTGGTCCAAACATTAAGCACGTGTTGAAGGTCAGCTTGGACATAACCCGGTTTGACTATTACACGCTTGGCAAATACGATCGTAAGAAAGACCGGTACGTACCGGACGGTGATTCACCTGATGGTTGGGACGGCTTAAGATTCGATTACGGTAACTTCTACGCATCGAAAACATTTTTTTACTACAAAAAGAGCAGAAGAATACTGTGGGGTTGGGCCAATGAATCCGACACCCCTAACGATGACGAGAAGAAAGGTTGGGCTGGTCGACAGGTGTGTAATCAAACATACAACTTTGTTTATATTAGTCAAATATTTATGTTACTATAATGAAACTAATTAAATGTTGGTAAACTATAGGTGATTCCAAGAACAATTAGTCTTTTGGCCTATTGAAGAAATCAAGTCATTAAGAGGTAATTACGTCCATATGAACAATCACGACGTCAAGATGGGTCAACGCTTAGAAGTCAAAAGCATTACTCCTGCTCAGGCGGATGTGGAACTAACGTTCAAATCGGAAGTCTAGAGAAAACTGAGAGGTTTCACGTTCAAATCATTGGAGTTATGTAATATCAAAGGCTGCAATGTGAGCGGCAGTGTGGGACCTTTTGGTCTAATTAAATTAGCAACTCCTGATTTAGAAGAGTACACTCCGGTCTTCTTTAGAGTCTTTAAAGACACTTCAACTCATAAACCTAAGGTTCATATGTGCTCCGATGCTAGACCGTACGTTCCATGATCTCTATGCTAAATTCCATTTATGATCTTCTTTTCATTTGATTCCTTGGATATTTCTAACACTAATGAAACATGAATATCCCTTGTAGTTCGTCGTTAAATCAAGACAAGGGTCCACTCCCAAAGGATAGGATGTACAAACCATCATTTGCGGGTTTCGTTGATGGAAGGATCTCTCTGAGGAGTTTGGTACGTATATACAACCAATATATAAGAAGATATTTGATATTTATGCTTGTTTATGTTTATAATAATTGATATAAAATGGAATTATGTATAATGACAGATTGATCACTCTATAGTAGAGAGTTTTGGAGCCTTAGGGAAGACTGTAATAACGTCAAGAGTGTACCCAGTGAAAGCAGTGCAAGAGAATGCACATTTGTATGTGTTCAACAATGGAACACAAACTGTTAACGTAGAGAGTCTTAATGCTAGGAGCATCGAGAGTCCTTTGCATATGAATGATGGAGCTCTTTAATTTTATCATTTTCTCTTTTAATCTTCGGTAGCTATTGAGAGATTCAGACATTAGAAACTTTGTAATCTTTTGTTGTTATTGTGACCACTTTGATTTGTGAATGTCGACTTCTAGTTTATGGACTCTTGTACCTTTCTGTCACTTATCAGTTATCACTCAATAAAAATAACTTTAGAAAGCCACAAAAACATCAAGAAAGTGTTTTTAATAAATCTTTTAGCCTCTTTACGATACTAAATATCTTTTATGTTAATGACACATTTAAGAGAATGGTGATTCAATTGACAAAACTAGAAATCAAAGAAACATAACATACAATTCGGAATTTATCACAAAGCCAAAAATCAGGTTTACTCTTTGAACAGCAAAATTCACTGAGCTTCCCATCAAAATATAACAGGTTTACTAATCTCACACAAGCCTTAAGATCACATCAAAACACACTACACTTTATCCACCCACATATTCGAATTATATCAACAACTTAGTGTCACAAAACGATGTGTTCATGCTATCAAGATACAAAAGCAACAATTGATATGATAACTAGAGGAAGGTTATACAAAGTGATCAAGATCAATTCATTTTGCAATCCACAAAGAAAATGGCATGAAGCTAAGTTAATTCCCCAATACTAAGGTATATTTATCAAACATGGTACATTGATAAGGTTTGAGACAACATGTTAAAGCTTACTTGCGGCAAATCATCTTGTCTTGATTGTACTTACGAGCCAACATCATCAAAGAAGGTTCAATGATACCTCCTCTTAGCCTCAGAACAAGATGCAGAGTCGATTCCTTTCACAAACCAAAATAGAGAATTGAATGAACAAACAAATCATAGCTCAAAGCAAAATTCAGAGCCATTTGAAATCCGTTACCTTATTTGTGTTGGATCTTGGCCCTGACATGATCGTCAAAGTTGGAACAATGCTGTCTCTTGAAACTGATTTGGCTTGTATTCTTCAGATCAGGCTCTGTTTGGGTACAATAAGAGAATCTTATTAGACAAGCTCTGAACAATTTGTGGATTGAAAATCCACAGCAATCTAACTCATGGCAAGCCAACAAGCTTCTTGGAGTGAAACATCTAATCTTTCCTTGGATCGAGTTAATGGTTGAAGATGGTAAATCATGGTCTGATAATTTGGGAGTCTAAGGTCATATCTCAATCATACACTGGGGATTAGGCCAAAGGCAACACTATCATCACTATGGAGAAACGAATCACAATATTAGCTCCACTACCTATCAGACGGGAACAATCGACAACTTAGTCAAAGCTAGAGGAGTTGCAGTACCTTGGTAAAAAATGGTGTGGTTTTCTGCGCCTGAGTCGAAGCTTTACTTGGTCGGATACTATCAGATCTCTTCAGTTCATGGCTGGGAATAAAACAAGTCAGCTATCTATTGCCTCTGGTTAGAACGCAGCCATCGAAATAGTTCGATTCATCCGTTATTCACAAAATCTATCGTTAAAAAAAAAACAACCATAATGAAAACTTCCATCACAAGAAATAAATATATAAAATGTTAAACAAAAAAGTTTGAAATATAGAATAGAAAAAAGATTACATGAATTCAATCAAATAAAACGACTTAAACGTCAGGTAAAACTAAGAGACAATGGCTTAAGGTTGCAAACCACCGAGATAGAAGAGAGTCCTGGTTAATGTTTATTGGAGATAGGTTGGGGAGCAAGACGTGTAGCTTGCGGACCAAGTGTTTTATGGCATGAAAGCTCTCTAATGAAGTGAAGCTTGTGAAGCCCAGAAGAAGAATATTCTAGATCTCTAAATTACTTCTTGTACAAGATATTTCCATTATGTATTAGGAAAGTTTACATTATATGGTGTTAGCAATATATTAAGCTAATCACTATATATTTCTATCTTATGTTCTTGTATCAAGACAACTCAATACAATATATCATATTCTATAATATTTGACATGGTAGCAAAGCAGTCGATTCTGGTTCTTTAAAATTCCGCATTAAACGTTAGTTTGTGATCATGGAAGGAGACGATGTAGAAGACGGTGGAGATGGAGACGAACCGCCTGATGGAGATGATGAATACGTGAATCACAAGAAAAGTAGTTACGTGATGTGTTTTAAGATTTAACTAAATCTATTGGAAGTTTTTTTTAAGGTTTTCTAAACAGTGAATTTTATTTCTTATCTAAATTATATGTTTTCTTTTGGATACGTGGAGCTTTGGTTATGGTTAAGTTTTTCTCCTACGTACCTTTAGTTGTTTTACATTATTTGGGGGTTTGGTTATTGGTGCTGCAAGAGTTATCGAGTGTTTGTTTTGAATTATTTCTAAGGGTTCTGTTTTTCACGGGTCATGGGTTTACATTGTTTTTGAGATTTATATCTAGTTTCAGAAATTCTCAGAGTTTTTGTTTCTCCTATTACAGGGGAGTTTGGTTGTAGTTTTAGGGAGTTCTAGTTAGAACGCTCATGTTCTTTAAGTCAATATTTTTTCTTAAGTCCGATTTATGGACTATCCGAGTAAAAGACAATTATTTTGTGGAGTTGCAAGTTGCACCCATGGGATGTTTTTCCCTTTTTTATTAAGACCAAAGATGAGCTGAAATTTCATCCCTGTTTTGAAAATTGAAATTTACATTCGGATGAGTCTGTTGACTTGTTTTGTCCGTCCTCGACAAGTTGTCCACGACATACATGTTTCGCTTGATGATTTCGCGTACCACGTTTGTCGTGTGGGGGAGTATTGGAGATAGGTTGGAGAGCAAGCCGTGTAGCTTGCGGACCAAGTGTTTTATGGCATCAAAACCTGTCTAATGAAATGAAGCTCGTGAAGCCCAGAAGAAGCATATTCTAGATCTCTATATTACTTCTTGTACAAAATATTTCTATTATGTATTAGAAAAGTTTACATTATATGGTGTTAACAATATGTTAAGCTAATCACTATATATATCTATCTTATGTTCTTGTATCAAGACAAGAACATAATATATTCTATTCTATAAGATTTGACAATGTTTACTGGTGATTAAATTTGATGAGCGGCGAGTTCAGTTTGTTTTTAACATGGATGTTTAAGTTTC